CTCGCCTGCAAATCGCACATCAGTAGAAGAACGCACGGTCACACCCCCAAGAGCTTTCACACCATCCATTCCTAAAATTGCACCGAAACCCAGCGGCTTCACCGCTACAACCAACGCATCAAGCACCACAGCATCACCCCCAGGTACCCCAACATCGGTTTCAGCCGTGCCCGCACAGTCCACTCTCTGACCACTAACTGTCACCATGGACACAGAACGCCTCTTCCACTCGGCGCAGAGCGACGAATGAACCACCGTTCTGGTACATCCCGTGTCGATCAACACCTCACACAACACCCCGTTCACATTCAGGTGTCTCGTTGGTAGTGCGCCGCTCCATCTTAATCCCGAGAGGAGGCCGGCACACGATCCTCCTCTCTCTCCGCGTTTTCCGGACACCGAGCTGCGATGTGACCAGTCTTGTCGCACCGGAAACACCGGATTTCGCGGGGGCCAGTGCGGGCCGAACATTCACGGGCGAGATGCCCCAAGCGGCCGCACGTAAAGCAAGGTCCGCGCTCTCTCCTGCCGCTACTAACGGTTCGGCCGCGATCCCGACCGCCTGGTGACTCTTTGACCAGCGCGGCTGCCACCTCCGATGCGCCGTTCTCCTCTCGCAAGATGGCGCGAGCCCTGTCCACCACCTCCGAGAGCTTTAACGACTCCATGCGCGCTCCAGCTCGCAGTATCTGCCTGGTAGAGTCCGGCAGACCTGCCACAAAGGCACACCCCAGGCCCTCGTCCGACATTCCTCCGAACAGCGTCGCAAGCTGCTGCAGCTCCGCCAAGAAAACATCAACTGTTTCCCCGGGGCGGAGACGGCGGGTGCTGAACTGCTCATACGCAGCGTATTTATCCACCGCAAACGCACGCTTCAGCGCATCCTTGAGCTTCACCACGTCCTTCCTGTCAGCCTCCACCAGCTGCCGATACACAGCAGATGCTCCTCCTTTCAGCCGCAGGGGTATCACCAGCGTCTGCCTCACTGGCGGCTCCTGCAGCCCGCACACTAGCTCGACCTTCTCCAGCCAGTCGAGCACGTCACCGGAGCCGTCGAATTCCGGAATTAATTTGACATCAAAACTGGCCATGATATTAGGTGCCGAAATAGCTTGTAGGAGTTGTCTCTGATCACCACAGTTCGTCCGCCCGGCAAATCCAAAGGTCTCAAGAAAAAAGTGAGTATTCCGAACTTACAAAGTCAGACAAAGCGCCGTCTTCTGCACCACCTCGGCCACACCACAGAACGCTCAACAACACCTTCCAGACTCAGCCCTGACTGCCGACTGACTCAGCCTCTTAATCCCGAACAATGGCCGGGCGTGCCCTCCGCCCCCTCCCCTGCGGCATCAGTTCACCGACCCCATTCCCCTGCGGTGTCAGGTTCACCGTCGGCGGGCGCGTGACGGCCGCCCGTACCCAGGGCAGCGTCCAGCGGCCAGGTCCGGCCAGCCAGCGCTCGCTCCGCTGCACCACTACATTTCACTACAGATCGTCTGGGTGCTCGTTCACGCTGACAAGCACCGGCCCGTGCTGGTCGCGTCTGCTTACCGCGTGCCGACCAACACTGCAAGACAGCTCGCCGCCGACCTGGAGGATCTGGAGAACCAGCTACAGTTCATGCTGGCCAGCTACCCACGAGCGACTCTGATGGTCTGTGGCGACTTTAATAACTGTCTGTTAAAGTCTGCACGCACTGGTTCGCCAAACGCACTTTTGAGTATGCTCCACACGTACGGTCTACGTGTGACAAACTCTTCCCGAGCTACCTACTGTCCAGTGAGTAGTCTACTTGACGTCATCGCTACCAACCGGCCTGAGCTTGTACAGCGTGCTGGCGTAACCCGCTGTCATTACGGAGGGCCCCACGATTTTACTCGTGTGGTGCTGTCCTGCGCCGGTCGTCCGTCAACACAGCGTGCTGGTGACGTGTATCGCCGCGCTCTGAGCAAGATAGACGCAGCGGCGTTTTGCCAGCAACTGACTGATACCGACTGGACCGGAGTTTTTGACAGCGACACTACTGTGCACAAGTGGGCGCACTTCCAGACTGCGTTCCTCTCTGAACTGGACACTGTCGCACCGCTCAGGCGTGTCCGTGACAGGCGGAGCTCTGCGCCGCCCGTGTCCGCTGACACCCAACGGCTGCTGCAGCGCCGCCGCGCGGCGCTCGCTGGAAGTGACCGCGCCGCGTACAAGGAGGCCAACCGGCTGTGCCGCGCGGCCATCCGCCGTGACTGCCGCGCGCGGTACGAGCGGGAGATCAGGGAGAACAGTCGCGGTGGGCTGTGGCGGGTGCTGCGGCCCGTTATCGGACGGAAACAGCAGCAGTGCGATATTCCACGGATAACCCCGAATGCGTTGAACAACTACTATGTCGCAGTGGGGCTCAACACTGCTGCTAGTGTGCCGGTCGCCGCTTTGGCTGTCCCCACGCGCGTCCCACGTGTGTCAACTTGTGGTTTCGATGTCAGCACAATCGACCTGGATACTTTGTGTGCCACGCTCGCGGTGATGAAACCGTCCAATTCAACAGGAATTGACGGCATTAGCGTGCTGATGCTGCAAAAGTTTTTCTTGGGTGTGAGACATGCTCTGCTTGACGTTGTAAACTCGAGCCTTGTCACCGGTACAGTGCCGCACGCCTGGAAGCATGCGCTAGTCACACCCATTCCTAAAGCCGGAATTGCCACCGAACCGTCCGATACTCGACCCATCTCGATTCTGCCAGAAATAATGAAAATTGTCGAGCGCGTTGTACAGGCGCAGCTCATTGCTTATCTCGAGGACAATTGCCTGCTCTCCGATTGTCAACACGGGTACCGTAAATTCCGTTCCACTGAAACCGCACTGCACGTGATCACCGATCTGGCGCTTCACGCTATGGACAACGGCGAGATAAGTATTCTAGTACTTCTCGATTTATCTAAATGTTTTGACGTTGTTCCGCATGACAAGCTGCTAGAAAAGCTGTCTCTCTACGGCATCACTACCAAATGGTTCCGTGACTATTTGGCCGACCACGCGCAGCAGGTGCAGGTACGGTGCGCAGACGGAAGGATGCTACTTTCTGATAAAAAGAGCAATGTGATCGGTGTATACCAGGGCGGCGCCCTCAGTTGTATTCTGTACATGCTGTTTGCGAACGACCTTAGCTTGCATGTGCCGGACGGTGTTAGTGTTGTCCAGTATGCTGACGACACACAACTGATAGTGACAGGCAGAAAGTGTGACTTACCGCAGCTCGTCGCCCGTATGGAGCACGCACTCGACATGTTGTACCAGTGGTTTTGCTTCAACCGGATGAAGCTCAACTCCAAGAAGACGCAGATGTTAGTGCTAGGTACCCCCTCAATGCTGCGCAATGTACCATCTGTGACGTTGACCTTCAATGGAGATGTCATTCCAGACTCAGGAGTAGTTAAAAACCTCGGTGTTCAACTTGACAGGCATCTAAATTTTGAGGCTCAGATAGACAATATGTCCCATAAGTGCGCCGGTATTCTGATAGCCCTAAGTCACGCACGTCACGTCATACCTAGACCTGTGTTAAAGGGCATCACAGAAGCTCTAGTGTTATCCATTGTGCGCTACTGCATGTCGGTGTATGGGTCTTGTACTAGCACACAGCTGCAGTGTGGCCAAATTGGCAATGTTGTGGGGAAATCCTCCCCTAATGAAAAGGATAATGACATCCTAAAAATTGGGAAAAAGACATCCTCACGACTTTTTCACTTAAATATATCATACTGTTCTGCAAGCATCAATGTGTTTGGCAACTTCTTGCTAGGTCATAAAATACCTCTGTCTCAATGAGCGCCAATTTGAATATAGGCATATACAATTTTAAGCAATATTCATATTCTTATGTTCTGGCAATATTGATATAAAATATAGGTGCATGGCATTAGCAGTTGAAATCAGCATGCTGATGCTGCATGGGTGATGTGATTGTGACAAAATAAAAACTGCATTATATTCCAGTGTCTTGACTTTTGGAGCTGAGTTTGTACTTACCTACCAAACAACATGCACAGGTTTGGTAAGGAAATCACAAATTGAATTGTACAAACAACTAGGCTATTTCAATTTCAATTTCAATCGCTGCTCACCCAGCACAGATACAGCATATAGCCTTGGACCAGACTCGGATTAATATACAATACCTAGTTATCAATTGATCGCAAAGAATAAAAGCAAAACTAAGCTCAAACACAACCACTGAAAATCAGGATAAGCACAAACCCCTCGGACACAACACCAATGCATCCACAGCGTCCACAACACAAGCAGTCGTTCGAGATTCAAGGCCATCAAAGACACAATAATCCCCTGTTGACTCTTCATACATCATGCACCACCGCCCTGGCGTGCTTTGTTCAGCCTGTTACGTCACCGGTGGCCAAAAAGGAAGTCGTTATCGGGAAGTCAAAATCCCGAAGGAAGTCGTTATTTTCCCCCTAACAACCCCTAACTTATAATGGGGACAGCACCGCTAATCGACCAAACCAAGACGAGAAAATTAGATAATACGAAAGAAAATGAAATAATACATTGCATACGCGGTCATTTTCTTGGAAAATATGCGAAATGCTTGTTTTTGAGCCCCGTAAACTTCCGTCATTTTCATGCGAAAAATCCGCTGATTTTGCGGAAAAAATGGCTTCTGAAGAAATGAAATTGTTAATTCCCAGGCTCATTTTACGAGCTAAATGTTATACAAAGTGAAAGAAAATTGATGAATTATGCCCACCTATGCATCAAAACTGATATTAAGCCCACAATACTCTATTTTGACATGTTCAAATATAATGACATCCTTCGCCTGTTTTGGCGAAATTCTACCCCTAACAACCCCTAACTTCAACTCTTCGCCAAACTGTGAAAAACCATTTTTGTGATTTGGTATTCACATATATCATGCTTTATTGATTTCCCTACAATATTATCATCATTTTACCGGCTGTATTGTCTTAATTTTCACGTTTGGCTGGCTTTCGTGAGCCGCTGTTTTAGGGATGTCGGAAGTTTTTCTGCCGAAAATCTCTGAAATCGTGTGACGTAATACGGAGGCCGCGAAGTTCGACAGGTGCGTCGAGATTGATAATCTTGTACAATATTTTGTAGACGAGGAAAACCGAAACATTTGCTCCATACAAACGATTCGAGACATTAAATTGAATAGACAAGCAGTGTTGTGTTGTGGCCTTGTTGCCTTATTTCAGTATTTGATAGAAGCGTAATTGTAATAGAACTGATAGCAATACTTGCAAGCTATAAGGTACAGGGACCTAAGACCTTGATCCTGGAAAGATCTCAGTTAAAGTTGGGATGATGTTGGTCTATGCATGCACGTTTGTTATTTGTAGGTGGAGAGCGTAGACTGAGATTGCTTTGGAGAAGCATGGAACAGGAACACAGCCTCAGGTAAGAACGTTTCTCAGCATTTCGAGCCTTTAGCTCTTGCCATCATCAGGAATCCGCAACCGAACCTGGATGTTGAGCTCATTCACAAATATATAAGGCATCAGTTAAAATTTCATTTGTGTGCATCTGTTATTTTATCTGATTTGATACATTCATATACTTCAAAAATACATATTACCTAAAAACAACAACCAACCAACAATCAGAACTCAGAAGACATTTCCAGTGATGTTGGCTGGTTCTGTTAAGTTAATTATTAATATTTTGGATTAGCACCTCAGCAATGACATTGTCATTGCTAGTAAAAACCCTCTAGTTTCAAAGATTTTTCATTACTAGTTACCACCCATCTACTCTGTGCATTCTGACTGAAAGAAATGTAGGCATCTGGCCAGATTCTTACAGATTGATATATATATAGGTATCTGGTATGATAAAATTTGGTTTATGTGTAGATAGGTTGTGGGCTTAAGGTTGTAGGTTGTAGGTAATAGGTTTTGAGTTGGGACAGCCAGGTTGAAAGTTTTAGGTTGATAGGTAGCTAGGTCAGGTTACATCAGGTTAGGTTATGTTCAAAATATTCACTGGACTTCATATTCACATTTACTAAAGATTTCTTATATTGAGGAGTGATCTGTTAATATTGGACATTTGATGAAATGTTAATGTGAAGGCAGATGTGACGGGTATGCAGATTTCATTACATCAATCATTGCTTTAGTGTGTGAAAAAATCTTAATGAAGAAACTGCATTCTGGCATTTGCAAACACCATTTGAACTATGATGATGTATTGAACTGCTTCATTCTGAAGCCTGATCTGATTCAGATGGTACCTAATCATTTCAGGGATTTGGAGCTGTGTGTAAATTTAAAGCGATCTACATTTCTAATTCAACATAACTAGGCACTTATTCATTGCAAAACACTACTTATAATTGCAGTGGTACCTAGGTGAGGGGTGTTTTAATTAATGAGGAAAATACTGAGCAATATAGGTACATTATGAAATCTTTTCAACTTCACAACAACTGCATAGTACATTATGGCGACATCTATTGACTAGGTTGTGGTGTTTACAGAGCCACCTACTGGCAGACGTCCAAAACGAAACAACCAAGACGCGCCGTGCACTATGCGTTCAGACTCGTAATCGAACTGATTGGTGAATTGGCCCCAGTCAGTCATACCACCATTCGTGACTCATGTGACTGATTTGTGAACCTACCATAGACTCCTTACCTGCAAAGCATGACAATCTCGATGAGATGTCGGCGTGAATGCACTCAGCTAGACGCTGGTGTGTTGTACAGCACAGCTGATCCGCTGTCGTGTGGTACGATTTTTTTTTGTGCCCAACCAACATGGTATCGTGAACTTCGGTGTGAGACTGAGCACATACCCTGTAGTGCTAGGAAAAGGAAATGATAGGGTGAACTATGAGACCCACAACAGGTTGAGCAGGGAATAAATCGCCGTGTTTTTTTTCCTTCAAACTCTATAGGTATCTGTTCTCACGTAAATTTGCGACAGGTTGAAAAAAGCTTGAGTAAAATACAGTGACTCGGTTTTCTGAAGTTTGTCTGTCTCAGCAGATCAAGCAATGTCAGAACAAGCTCACATGCTTGATACTTGATCAGGATCGAATAATTGATTGGACTTTTTAAATTGGATTTTTCGTGCTTCCGGGCAATTCACGGGAAGAAGATCAGGGTTTGGAAAAAACGCGTCGAAATGACCGGCTATGGTGTTTTCCCCTAAAAAAGTGTGATAAGCTGGTAAATATTTTATGACCTATTCAGTAATAGCTCTAGGTCTTGCTAGATGTAGGTGTGTTTTTCCAGCTCTGTTAGCTCTGTTAGAGTCCGTCGGGCTGGTGCGGACTCATCACCTTAGTTGGTGCAGCTCGTCGACATATGTTGTCTCGTCTGGATATGGATTTGCGATCTGGCCAGCGATATAACGGTGACAAAATGCGCTCATCTCATCCGTTCGACCAACTCTTCTAGTTCAGTGTTACCCAGCCCAAAAAAAGATCGGCGATATGGACGTTTCGGTACCTTATTGCATTTTATTTTCCCCTCAGTTGCCGTTACTACACACAGTAATGAGTAAATTCATCGCACACATTGAACCCAAGATCACAGTTGCGGTTGGATTCTGGGATATGCACTAGGACATTAATGTCGAGGATGACATCGGGAGTTGTACTGGCCACTGGCCATATCGGTCAACATTTTATATTAGTGATAACTTTTCTTAGTTCTCATAATCGATGCAATTCTGATTCCTATACTGATGCAATGTTGATACAATAACTGATTCAGAAATGGTCGTATAGTCGATTAATTCGATTGATTCGAGAGTAACCTATTAAACACAGCACTATGCATTTACATTTTATAAAACGTGAATAGTTATGCAGTATGCGCAGCTGTATCTTCGGGGAGCAGACGTCGGTGTCCGAGGTCATCTGGCAGTAGGGATCTTGATGGATTCGTAGGTTCACGATGATGACAGGAGTGCTTGGAAATTGGAAGGCTCGCGATCTTCTTTCAGGAATGGATGAGGAATATGCCTGGAATAGAGTAAGGAGAATCAGCATCGGGAAGGTGGTGGTTGGCAAATGACCAGTGGCCGTTGAAGTTGTTCCTATTAAACGATTGTCTTAAAAAGGATTGCTATTTCTACATATGTATCACTGAAGTGCTTTATTCAAAGATACATCAGTACTGAATGTTAGTAAGGCCATTTCCCACCTTTTCTATGAAAATTAGAACTTAAAAAAATCAGTAGACCATTTTTTCAAAAAAATAGTTACATCCTCTGGCGGCTTTTTTTCTACATCCTCCCCCAAACGCAAAATGGATTTGGCCACACTGCACAGCTGCACCGTGTACAGAAGACCATCAACTTCTGCGCACGTGTCGTGACCGGGAAAAGGCGATGTGATCACATCTCGGGTGCCATATCGAGCCTTGGCTGGCTCACGGCCTAACAGTTGGTGGCTTACCATACCTTGTGTGCAGTCGAGCGGACGATGAAGTCAGGTCATCCGGACTTTCTTCTTAAGACCTTCGGACAGCGAGCCCACCAGCGGCATGATCATAACACCAGGCGAGCGGACTCGTTTACCCTTCCGGCCATCCGTGTGGAGGCCGGCAGGCGGCGACTCTGTTACCGCGGTGTGTCGCTGCTGAACGACAGCGGCATTGAGCCTGGCACTTTGTCTTTCCGGGCAGATGCCAGGCTGTTCGCTGGATCTCTCTGATTCACGATATCGTTTCTGGTGCGAGTGTATGCATGGTATGCGAATGTTTGTAGTCATTTCCGTGTGCCTGTTCCAACTTCCCATTGTATTACCATTCAGACGCGAGTAAGTGAAAAGCCATGTAATCGTGGATCTTATTCAAATAAATCTGTTCTGTTCTGTTCCCCCGCCGTTGCAGCGCGGCCCGTGAGCGGTACGACGCCCCCTTCCCTCCCCACCTGACCTTGAAGGCCAGCTGACCGCACGACAGTGCCCCCGATCGGCGCCCCCCGAGGGAGAGTAGCGGCCCGCCCGGGCCGCGCAGCTCCAATCGCGTACCCTGGAGACATGTCCGCTGAGTTCCCGGTATTCAGTGGTTGGGTTTGGAGCCGTGCGATACACATACGCAGTGATCGGCGCTCAAACGTTACACAATCTGTCAGTCCAAATACCATCGGGCGGAGGGCCCAGCCACGGTTAGGAAATGGGCCAGATTGAGTTCCAAAGTCCACGATCCCATCCATAACTAGTGATCAATGTATGCACACTCGGAGCGCAGACTGCCATGCCACAGGCGTTTAGGTTGTGCGTTACACGCACACTGTTTTTCGTCGTACGTAGACGTGCGATTCCCACAGTCACCGCGAGTGCAGAGGCGCCGGCCGATCGGTTGCCCCACCCCCGCCGGGCCCCGCGTCCCAGTCACACAGTTTTGTCGGGCCAGTCAGCTGACTGCGGCTGTGCGGCGGCCGCGGCAGCGCCGGCCCGTCAAGTAGTGTGGGCCCCACACCCGAGACCACGTCCGTGGGAACTCAGAAAACGAGCGAGCTGAGACTGCCCGGTAAATGTTCAGAATATATGAGGTGGTAGCACGACTATAGTTCGTTTATTTTCAAAAGGACGCTGGCTCAAAGTTCAATATCGAAGCTCTCACGTGAGTTTTGGCAGCTTCAGTGTCTGGCCAAGAATTTCTAACCGAAAAAATAATCGATTTCAAATTTTGCACGGAAAGTAGCTGGAAATTGTTCCTTAAAAATGAACATATTATGATGACGTCACTGGTGGCAGCAGGCACCCAAATGCCCGTGCAGTGGGACAAGTGTCAACGAATTTGGGTGAAACTTAGTTTTTCACTGTTGCCGAGCTTATAATCGAGTGAGCGGCTCCGTCCATGATAGTCATAAGTTAAATTGAAATACATGTTCGACAGCATGACGTCACCGCTGTTCTCATATCTGCTTCGAAAACGCCCATATGGAAATTATCGGGAAGAAATCACATGTCAAAATTAGTCGACGTTCGATTTTCTCAGGTTCAGTTTTTGCTCGTTTTGCTCGCTTAAACACGTGCTTGTTCGAAAAACATACTTGGAGCCAGCGTCCTTTTGAAAAAAAAAAAACGAACTATAACAAAATACTCCCTGCGACTAGACAACGCCTATAAAGCGACTACTATGTGTTCACTACTTCATTACAGTGGTGGATGCACCATGTGCCCACATTCTCCCAATACAAACCAAACTCTGGTATAAGCCGGACCGAATTTACAACGTAAGTTGCCCATCAAGAATATTAACAATATCCCTGATGACACCATCACACATGTCCGTTATGAATGCTCATAGAGCGTCAATGAAGGGACCGCAGATGGGTGACAATTTCCGCCGACGATCTGCGCCTGAAATCAACTGCAGAAGCCGCACTTAGCTCCATAAATATACACCCGACGCGGCCGGGCTCCGAGACATTCTGTCCCAGTGAGGTCAGCGCGATGTACCGAACGCGGTCAGCGGGCTTCAGATACGGCTCCCTGCTGTCGATAACGAGAACTGATAAATTGTCAGTGATTAGTGCTAAATACGTGAGAGTACCGGCAACAGGTAATCACCGTAACTCGATAATCGTCAACTGTTTGTTGGTTTCTGCGCTCAGTATCAGGCAGATTTTTTCTGGATCAGAGATCCATACTGCACAACATTGTTCTGTGTGTAGTGAGGGGTTCAGGTCAGGTCAAGCCCGGAAAGATGCATCTTCAACATGTCTCTGAGCGACAGTCCCCACTGTGCCCCGCAGTAGACCTCAGTCGGAGAGGGGAGGGGTGTCAGTCAGCGGAGGACCAGCGCTGCACGGGCAGATCGGCACGCACCAACCGAACCGCACGACGAGCGTGTCCGCTGCGGGGCCCGGTACGGGTGAACAGAGCAAGAGGGTGCCATGAAGGATCTGTGCAGGCACTGAGAATGTTTCAGTGCTGCAGGATACCTACGTCACTAACTAGATTTAGGATAGATAAGTGCTTCGAGGGATGACGACCGATTAAAAATGGTGACTTCCTCTTCATGTCAGATCAATGTTTACCGCTCCTCGCTAAACATGAGAACCATGCCAGATCAGCTTCCAAAACATTCGCAACCATTTTAAACACGTCCTCCCATCACCGTCACTGTAACAGCCCCCTATTGCCAAACATATAACCAATAACCACGCCCCATCGCAGCCTCTGTAACCCTGCGTCCCCCCCCGCCACCATGCCCGAGCGCGGCGGCGTAGGTGACTCGGTACTCACAGGTCAAAGTGTTTGTTCCACTTGGGACTGAGCGTAGCGTGGCACGTCTCCGTGCAGTGGCACTGGCCAGAGCCGTCCACGCTGATCCGAGCGAACGGGTCCGGCAACCCTGCGGACGGCCGAACAGATGGAGATTTAGCAGATGGAGATACAGAGGAGATGTATAGCACTGAACAGAGATATCACAATTTCATGGTATTTCAATTTGCAAAAAAAAAACATTTATTAGACACCCAGGCACTTTGGTTGATTTCTGGGTGGGTATGATTTACTTAGACTGAGAACATCGTCAAAAGGGTCGCCATTGAAAAATGGGATCCCATTAAGCTCACTTAAAATCAAACCAAGCTATAAACAAACAACCAGTGGCATGAAAGAGGGAGGTAAGGTACTCACTGAAGAAATCCTTCCTGGCCAGATCCTTGGCACATAATACTGAAATCATAAGCAGATTGTGAGAGCAACCCATCGACAGGGCTCCCTGGTCTTGACACTAGCTGAATTGATGGTAAAAAAAAAAACAATATAAGCTATAGGTATGCATCAGATTCATGCAAAGAAAATTTGTTTAATGCCCAAGAACCTTAAATGGACCAAAATGAGGTAAATAGGGACAAAAATGCTATGGGTTTTAAGATTATCAATCACCAAGATAATTAAATCGAACTAGAGAGGAACATTGGTAATCCTCACAAACAGATTAAGGACTCAACCTTCTCACACAACTGCCAGGTCCCTTCTCTACTACCACTCACTTGTCAGCCGTATTTTGGAGGTGCCATTCCTTCTGTGACCACTATTGGGTGACATTTTTCCCATGCACCATGTATTGAGTGATGGGCATTGCACTTCCACTGCTTTTCAGCACATCTGGAAACAAAACAAGGACAGACAATATGGGTCAAGTGTCACACGCACCTAGCAGCAACTAACAGAAAAGAGCATATAGAACAAGAATTCCACATTATAAAAATATCAACATGACAAGTGGAATAGCATGGCCACACTGATAGCTGGTTACTAACAGGACAGGAACTTTAGTTAAGGTTTAGACTGGTCAGTTTTTATAATATTGGGTCAGTTAGGCTTAGGTGCTCACATCAATTGAATCTCATTTAAAGATTGAATGCAATCACTAGTTGTCAGTTCTTGAGATGTAGAACAAGAAAGCAGGCCCTAGCCCTGCATGCATCAAAATGTGAGGCTAGACTGACTGCACGCATGGCAACAAACTAGATGAGCTGCACCAGCTACTAGAACTTTGTGAAAGTTAACAAGGGTTAACATTCCACTTAAGTACCTAAGCATCAAAGTCTAGAAACATGCACTTCACTTCTGACATAAAACTGCAATATACGGACCAACAAATGATCCTTGCATTACCCTTGTAAGCCTGCTGTGCACCATTTTCCTGGCACATAAATGTGCCAGAAAAGCAACTCAAACTGGGCATGGCACCACTTTTGGGCCACACTGATCCAGTATCCATGCACAATCCGCACTGCGCCCCTAGCAACTCCACTCTGCACCGGCGGAGTGCCCCACACCCAAGAGATCAAGATCTGGCCAACACTGCCATGCTTTACCATTACAGCCTGGAGCATGATCCCAACTGATCCTCACAATAACAAATATTTGACAGCAATCGAGTTCAAGCAATTGGATTTGAGAATCAAGTGAAATGACATGGGTATACGAATGGGTGGGGATGACGTGCAGGAGTAAAAAAAAACTATCGATCATGAACACTACCAGAATTTGGATAAAAGGATTTGGATGATGAGGAGCTATAGTCTGCTAATCTCCTCAGTTTTAAGTGCCTATAATTCAGGATTCCATCGAATGTCTCAAATCAAACTAGCAAGCACCTTCAGGCTCAAGTGGTGATAGGTAGAAGTTTGAAAGGGAAAACAAATAAAATAAATGGTGACTGATGCCTCACTCAGTCCTCACGAAACAAAAACCCAAGGCCCTAAATACACAAAAACCAACCTTCAGTTCAGCCCCCATACGCCCTGTCCTTTTCACAGCGAATGTGAAGTGAGTTGACAAGTGAGTTGGTGAGAAACGCTGCGTGGCGCGCGTTAGACGAAAGCCCAATTAGTTAGAGATGATGATTTTGCAGCCAGTTTTGAACTCGTGATGTTCACGAATCGATTCTCAAAAATAATTTTTGCGCTTTTTTAAAGCTCGAACATTTAAAAGTGATAAGAAAATCAATTGACAACAGAATGGAATGAATTTACAAAGTCATACTTAATTTGTGTCGAAATAAATCGGCCTTCAGATGGATAGAGATGAACCATTACACTTATAAAATACTCTCCACTCCGATCTCACATCACTCGTGAGTTGAGGTGGATGCGAGTTGTCGGCGAGTTCACGAGTTGGTTTGGGTGTTTTGCGTCAGGGTATATTGAGTGAACGTAGCGACTAGTGATGGACGCTTGAGCCCTGGCAGCTACGCGCCGTAATCCAACAAGAACAAGCGTAGCGACTAGCGAGGTATTATTATTTATATTGAATTGACATAATTATGCGAGTGAGTTATTGACCAAATTGCTGTATGTTGACAAAGCAATAAGCATGTATTGACATTTCTAAAAAGTGAAATAGGTTAGGTACCTATATGGCATTGGAAATATAGGGGAGGGTAGGGCTATTTAGTTACAAATTAAATATCTTAAAAAGCAATTGCTATGACACCAATAGGTATTTATGCAAGCGGAAATGCTGCACTTGTTTTACATGTCTGCGAGGTCAGACCTGGTGGTACGCCAAGTCACTCTTCAAGTTACCCCGAAAATGCCTATTCCAATTCCTTTGGTTTCCCATCATTCACGGAAAAATGAATAACTGTATAAAAATAATTATTTGCATGTGCATTCCAAATAAACTAGACTAGCCTGCGAAGAAAATTGGCACAGCTCTATTGCATAGGTAATTTGGATGCTAAGTGCGGAAAACCTAAAAGTGTAAGCTGTAACACATTGCCCCAATCTCTCCTAACCTTCTATTTACTCTAGGCTTGTGCATCAAGAGATTGTTTTTCACTTTAACTTATCAGAGATCAAGATCCACTGTAATCACAGGTTCAAACATTTTCTCTTGTGGAAATTCATTGGGATTATGAATAAAGACTATGTTTTTTGTTTACCCATAATTCATTTCAGACATGTGCATGGATACAAGGAATTGGATGTGGGATCTGATGCCACAAATCTTGATCTCTTGCTTAATTACTTAGTTACTTGATGCATGGAAATTTAGGCAGGCCAAGAGCAGTGGCGGATCCAAGGGGGGGGGGGTCACATGGGTCATGGCCCCCCCCCCCTTGAGGCCCGGGGGCCCAAAGACCTGCCAGGGGCACCACCGGCCTATCAGGGGTATCACAGTCCTGACGGGGGCACCACAGGACCGCCAGGGGCACCACAGGCCTAGCAGGGACACCACGGGCCTGGTGCCCCTGGGCCCTGACAGGACTGTAACGCCCCTGACAAGCCTGAAGTGTCCCCGGCAGGCACGTGGTGCCTCTGACAGGCCTGAGGCGCCCCTGCAAGGCCGGTGGTGCCCCTGGCAGGCCTTAGGTGTCCATGGCAGGCCTGTGGTGCCCTTGCTAGGCCTCTGGTGCCCCTAACAGGCTTGTAATGCCCCTGGAAGGACTGTGGTGCCCCTGGGCCCTGACAAGCCTGAGGTGCCCGGTCATGACAGGCTCGTGGTGCCCCTGACAGGCCAGTGGTGCCTTGCTAGGCCTGTGGTACCCCTGGCAGGCCTGTGGTGCCCCTGACAGGCCCAATGTGCCCCTGCGAGGCCGGTGGTGCCCCTGGCAGACCTCTGGTGCCCCTGGCAGGTCTGTGGTACTGGTGCCCCTGGCAGGTCTGTGGCGCCCCTGGCAGACCTGTGTTGACTGGTGCCCCTGCTAGGTCGCTGGTGCCCCTCACAGACCTGTGGTGCCCCTGGGCCTTGACAAGCCTGAGATGTCTGGCTATGACAGGCTCGTGGTGCCCCTGATAGACCAGTGGTGCCCTTGCTAGGCCTGTAGTGCCCCTGGCAGGCCTGTGGTGCCCTTGCTAAGCCTCTGGTGCCCCTGACAGGCTTGTGGTGCCCCTGGAAGGACTGTGGTGTCCCTGGGCCCTGACAGGCCTGAGGTGCCCATGACAGGCCCGTGGTGCCCTTGCTAGGCCTGTGGTGCCCCTGGCAGGCCTCTGGTGCCCCTGCTACCCCTGCGCCCGGAGAGGACTATGGTGCCCCTGAAAAGCCTGAAGTGCCTCTCGACAGGCCCGTGGTGCCCCTGACAGGCCCAAGTTACCCCTGCGAGGTCGGTGGTGCTCCTGGCAGGCCTCTGATGCCCCTGGCAGGTCTGTGGTGCCCCTGGCAGGCCTGTGTTGACTGGTGCCCCTGCTAGGCCGCTGGTGCCCCTCACAGGCCTGCGTTGCCCCTGGAAGGACTGTGGTGCCCCTGCCCCTAGGGGTGCTCATGGGCCCAACAGGCCCGTTGTGCCCCCGACAGGCCTGTCGTGTATACTTGCTAGACCTGTGGTGCCACTGCTTCCTGGCAGGCCTGTGGTGCCCCTGGCGGGCCTGTGGCGCCCCTACAAGGCCGTAGGTGCCCCTGACAGGTTTGTGGTGTCCCTGGAAGGACTTTGGTGCCCCTGACAAGCCTGAAGTGTCAAGGACAGACCCTTTAGACGCCAGGGTCAAGTTCGTCGGACTGACAACGATTCGCTTACCTGATAACGTTCCTGGTAAGTACTCACTACTCAGCGTCCACAACATATATACACATAGCACATTCATATATACTTGCTTACAATTGGTAAATGTGGTTGTGGCTTAGAGTTAAGATACTGACTAAAAATAAAAAATAAAAAGAAAAAAACCCTGAAAATGGGGGCACCACCGAAATGAAGTGGACGAAATCCGTTGAGTTTTTAATTTTGGGTATAGGTAGGGGCACCACTTCGATTCATGACCCTCCCCTTGGAGTTTTCCTGGATCCGCCCCTGGCCAAGAGCCTGTAGTGTCTGCTCATGCCAAGACCAAGTTCTTGGGTGACAGTGTTACTGATCATATGGTTGAGGCAGGGTGAAGTGCAGATGTTTCGAGTGAGAGTCAGGACAGTTCAGGACAGTGTCAGGCACCAACACCCTCAATGTGTTCCCTCATGGGAACACATTGAGATGTGTTCACATTGACATATTGACACATTGACAGATGGTGGCAGGCTGTTCCAGTTGTTGATGACTGACTGAGAAAGGTGACAGCATGGGGCTTCACAAGATTTCAGGAGTGCCTTCTTGGGCTCTGGTCATAGTCCTGTTAAAAAAAATCCCCATATCTCATCCAAAAAGATCATAAACCCAGTTTCAAGTTTGCTTAGAGATCTGTTGGGAGGATTGATCCATGCTTTTATGGGAGATACACTGAGATCTCACATACTGAACACAGCTATGTATGTGTCTGCCCTATTAAAATGTGATCTTTGTTTTGTTACAAGTTTACATAGAATTTCAGTGGTTCTGCCCAGCTTTGAAGGGATGACAGCTTAGGCAGTTACCAACACTTCACAAAATATGCACACACAATATGGCCATGAAGAGACTGTGAAGCACATGGTGCATTTTTGAGTACCCATGTATAAGAAAAGGTGCCTAGGAAGCTTAGTGATTTCCATTTTCAACTCTACCATTCAATATTTTCTCCCACACCCCATTATTGCAGGTCTGATGACTGCTAGCATCCGGCTGTGATGTCCGACTCCGCTGAACCCGCGGAGGGTGGCGGTGGTGACCCTCCGGCCGCCGGACCCGAGGACGCCCCCGACCCTCCAGCTCCCGTCGCGGACACAGGGACCGGGCCGGATACTGAGAGCACTACCAGCCGGGCGGGCACGGAGACGGGTCCGGACACCGAGAGCACCGCTGCCCCGGCGGATACCGGGTCCGGAGCCGGAGTGGACACCGGAGCCGGAGCTGGAGCGGACACCGGGTCCGGAGCCGGAGTGGACACGGCGCCGGGGGCAGATACGGAGACGGACACGGATACCAAGAGTGATGCACCGTCGGAAACGAAAGCCAAAGACAGAGGTGAGGGGAGATCCAGCCTAGAAACATGCTAGGTACTGCACGTTAAAATATACGGCCTCAGGTGTGTGATTCTAAGCTTGGCTGGTAGGCACGAATCAGGTTTAGTCGTTATACGTTTATGCAGCTTTTACATTTATGAATCGCTGAGTGCTCCGCCCGTTTGATTGAAAAGAGTCGTTGTAATTTGAACAGCTGGTTAGCTGAATTGTCTGAAATAAAGGCTCAAAGGCTTGAACTTTTTGCTGTATGAGCTATTTTCGTGAGCAGTCTATCATTGCCCATCCTCATCAGTGTCATTTTATTACTTTTCCTCATCTTATGTGAGTAGTGTTAAGTCTGACCATCGATATGATCAGTCAGTTTAATCCCGGATGAGTCTGTTCAGTTCAGCTGCCAGTAATCAATGTGTTGAGTCCCAGTTAACAGTTTTTTCAGTTCATGCTAGCCACTTTATTTCCCTAAATGGTCTATTAGATCTCGTATAAATTATCTGCTCATTCTTCGATACCCGGCCTGCTCGGTCTTTCACGATAAGGTAATCATTGGCTCCCCAACAGGGCGATAAGTGAGTTTTCACCGTTCTGTTGAAGCGTCCATCCGCTATTCTGCGATCGGTCTGCCTGGCCTCCGCTGACCATCCGATCTGCCTTCCCCAGTGAACCTGCTGCTGAAGGCGGCCGGAGACGCTCCGATCATGCGGCAGCGGCTGTGGAAGGTGGATCCGGCACAGAAGGTCACCTGGGTCATCCAGTTTATCAAACGCTACATCCGCATGGAGCCCGAGGAGTCACTGGTGAGGCGGGGAGACGCTGGGGAGCCAGTGGGGAGTCGCTGGGGAGCCAGTGGGGAGTCACTGGGAGGACTGAGCGGTGGGGAGTCTGGATATAGGGAAGTCTATGTAGGGAAGGGAGATAGGAAGAACCCATTGGTAGACAAGGATAGGGATGAGCCGATTGAGAGATGGGGTGGTCCCTGGGGAGGAGGAGGACTGTGGGAAGAGCCGCTGAGGAGGTGGGATAATCGCTGGAGAAGTGCGGCTCGGGAATGGCTGAGGAGAATCGTCGGGAAACATGAGGGCGGGGAAATTATTGGTGAGGAGGCTGGACGATGAGTACTCGCTGGGGGGGGGGGGGGGGGGGGGGCGAGTCGCTCTGAAGAATTTTATAGGAGGTGGGCTGATGACTATGTCGCTGAGGATGTATGTATGTGTCATTCACTAACAAGGTGGAAATCGTTCTCGCCAGGGGAATGGGAAATAGCAGGGGAGGCGCAAGAGTTGCTGCTGGGGTTCTGGATAGAAAAAGCCAATGGCCAATGGGGCACGTGAAATACAGGTGTTGCATGTCATTGTGGCGCCTTGGAGCCGTACGTTTGTTGTCGCTCTCCTACCTACCCCATAGAAAGTTGCGTGGATTTTATTTTTACAAATATGCGTCAATGTTAAAACGCCGCTTTCCACCCAGTTATTGGCTGGCCCAGCGGTCAGCACAGATGGGCGGGTTTGTCTTCACTGCTGCCTCCACAGGCGAGTGTTCCGCTCGTCAACAGTGTCGCCCTCTCGTAGCGCCGCGCTGGCAGGTCTCTCCTGACTGTGCCGGCGGCCTCTGACTGACCGCTCCCCTCCCTGACCTCACGTCCTGCACCCCGACAGTTCGTGTACGTCAGCCAGGCGTTCTCACCCGCACCGGACCAGACCATCGGTAACCTGCTCGAGTGTTTTGGATCAGAGGGAAAACTGGTGATGCACTACTGCAAGACACAGGCTTGGGGCTGAGGCGGCTCGGGCTGTGTCGTAAGACGCGGGACTGGGGCTGAGGCGGCTCGTACTGTGCCGTAACTGCAGCTCCGGGACTGAGCCTAAACTGCTGACCCGGCTGTGACGCTAAGTCAGGCGGCAGAGTGGTGGGTGACACTCCCAAGTGATGATGAAGGAGGAATCAGAAACTGTGATCTGAGACTGCAGGCGTGTAATTACTCTGGACGGTCAGAGAGACATGGAGCTCACTGTGTGCGTCTCCAGCCTTGTGCGCAGCGGACGCTGGGTCGCGTCAGTTGTCAGATCCGAGCGTGGTCTGTTAGATCGCATCTGCCAACTAGAGGCTGCCTCAGGGCAGTGTGCGCTGCTTCTATGCGTCCGATGTCGCACGGAGAAGCATGAAATGCAGACGGGATGCAGTTCCTGTCCAGCCTTGATCTAGCACTCCCGTTGGCTCCGTGCATCTACAGTCCTCGAGATGGTATTCCTGATAAGTGGCGCTGAGAGACGTGGGGAGCAGCTCAGTGTGGCCCATGGATGGGTGAGTGTGATGGGGTCACGCTCACGATTCCTTTTTTTGTGAGTGGTGTGTTCAGTGTTTCATGTGTGCATTGGTGCATGTCATGTCAATCGTTAATCATCACGGTGAATGCCTACAAAATGCCAATTAGTTGAATGCAATGCATGATTGTCGCCTTCCTCTCCGGCAATTTTCAAAAGCAGTTATATTCAAGTCGAATCCGCATTGTTTCATGTTGCAATTTTAAGAATAGTAAATCTCTTCAGTGATTTTGTTCCATGCCGGCGGGTTTACTGATGGTGAGTCATTTTGTGATATGGCCGATGATTAGTGATTGCCTTCTTCGTCGACTGTCCGGGTCTGCAGATTGTAGTTTTATTTATGCCGATCTATGTGCTGGTCCGCAGCTCCTATGGTGCGACTCGCAGCACGCCATAGAGGTCAGTGTTTCCCATAGCTAATGGATTATAGCAAGGGGAAGAGAGTGCCCGTCAGTATATCAGCTTGTGTGGGTGATTTTAGTGTATTTTTGTCGTGCTTAGTGTTATTTGTCAGTCATGATTGCGTTGTACTTGCATTATAAAGCGTTGATTCAGATATTTAAATAAATATAAGATTGTGCCTTTTCAGTCTATAGTTCCATGCACTCGCTAGGTGTGTACTCATTCCGCCTAAGTCGAATCGCATTCTTAGTAGATAGCAATGGAAATGGCTAGTTCAGCGTTGCAAGAGGTATACGATCTCGCACGCACTTCTTGACCACTCGAAGGTGAAGAGGTGGGACGGGCGGGCGGAAGTAAATGTTTCTGCAGAGAGGCCTGTACCACCCTCATCGTGATCCGTTGTGTTGTTAGAGCTGTTGGGTGTGCTGCCATTTGCTGAAGGGCATCCAGCATTAGGTCGATGTTTGGTTTCCTGGTAGGTGTCGCCACTGCTGTGAGACGGAGATGTGCAGCGCGCACTGCTACTGAAGTCGCGTAACATGGCCATATTACCGTCACTTTAATTTGAGCAGAGGTCGCTTTTTTACGTTGTGTAGGTAAGTGTTTACAAAGTAGGTAATATAGTTAAAGGCATGGCTCGGGTGGGCTACCATTTATATATTTTTCTTTTTAGTTAAAAAAAATTCATAGTGTCAGGGCTGTGACGAAAAATAAGTGGCCTAAATCCGATGAGAAAACAGGATTTGGGGGTACCCTAGGTTTGGCTCCTGCATGAGTTGGCCCCAGTGCTGCCAGATTTGGAGGATTTCCGCAAATCTGGAGGATTTTGAACTCTATTTGCGGACAAATTTCGCTTTTGGAGGATTTTTGAATCTGGAGGAAAATCTGGAGGATTTGTCGCCCGATGATTATATTCAATTTCATGGAAAAATATAACACATTCAAGACTAAAAAGGCATTTTCCTGCCCAGCGTCACTATACCCGTTAGGATATATCACGTCCTTTATCACCGTGAGACTGCAGAATGTCTCAGTCTGTAGCTATATCTACGAGGGTACCAAACTACTGGCGGATCTAAGGGGGACATTTGGGGCAAATGCCCCCGGTTCCCCTGCAGCGCCCGAAATCGACGAAAATGATCGTTTCTTTTTGAAGGATAAAACGAAAACTAAACGACTTTTATAAGAAAAAGTATCTTTTAAACTGCACAGCAGTGCGAAAGGATTCGAAATCCGATGGTTTTTAGAATTTGGTGAATTTTTTTTGGGGGGTAGAGCCCCCCGCAGCGTCCAAGACCGCCTTGCCATATCTACCAATAGGATTTGGAGGAATCTGGAGGATTTTTGTAACTGATCTGGAGGATTACAGCATTCCCCATCTGGCAGCACTGGTTGGCCCCCCCCCCCCAAAACGCAAGCCTGGATCCGCCAGTGGCCACCGAGTGATAGCTCTGGAATGATAGCTTAAATCAGCTATTATCGGTGGAATCCGTCGTGCGTGGCATGGGAGTGCGTGCCCCTGCTCCGGGAGGCAGTGAGGTGGAGGGAAGTGCAGTGCAGCAGTGCAGTGAGGTGAAGTGAAGTGCTCCGGGGCCGGGTGGTACATGAGCATTTGCCACCGACACATGCCACCGACACCGACGTTGATCGACTTTGGTGAGTCTGACACGTTGTATCTTTTGACATATCTTATATTGTTTAAGTGCTTCATATTCCGACTTTGGCAAATCGCGCTTCTTGGTCTGAAGGAAAGTTGTGTTGTTTGCGAAAATAGCTCCCAACAGAAAAAAATCTTGGAACTGATCCAGTTTTTTTTTTTTTTGCTCCAGGCATGGGGCTTGGTCAGTGGTCAGTTCTTCCGTCGACTACCACTTACAATGGAGGACAACTACGACAACAACACAGGGTCTCCGGTTCCGTCTATCACTAAACGCCGTCTGGTCGTGGATGAGGTCGAACTTATGGCCATGAACGGAACGTCGGTTCAACGACCCCCCCCCCCCCGCCTCCCCCAGTCGATCTTGCGTTAATCGTCGGTCACTGCGAGTGTGCAGGTAGGTATATGAGCGACCTTTCGTTATTTCCCGTGCGTTTGTTTGTGTATATATTTACATTTGTTTTTCATGCAGATGATATGAAGTGCTAATAAATGTTCCATTATTATCTTTTAATTTTATAATGTGTTGGATGCTTGAAAAATGCACTTACACGGGAATATTGCAGAATGCAAAACACAATCATTGAGACTTGTAGTTATCACTTATCTAGGATATAACCTTTTTTGCACGTCTTTTCGGCCTTACACAATTTCCTTTTTGGTAATTGATTAGTCCTTTTTGCAGTAACTAGTGAAAGTATGTGCTGCTAAAGAAAGCAGTTTTTGCGAACTTTTCATGCAGCAGCTTTAACTAGTATAGATATTCTACTTTCAGCCACAATGCTTTTGTTAGCATTATTCTACTTGTCGTGGGGTAACAATAGCGCTAAAACGGTTCATATGTGAGTACAGAAGGTACTAACTGCATGCTATTCTTAGCACCTTTTAAAGTTTAGCACCGCTAGGGTACTGAAAATTGGTCTAGCAGGTGTAGGGTACTACATTTACCACATGCCGAGATATCCCTTTAACATTAGCACGTGCATTTGGGAAATGGCTTCGGCCCGCCTCGGCTAATGTTGAAGGTATTTGGGAAACGATTCGGCCCTAGGGCTTTTTGATTTTCCCAGACAAAGTTTTACTGAATATTCTGAGCGGAAGATCCAATTTCAAAGAAGATATTTACGGATTGTGTGTTCACTAACAGCAACAGCAAAAGTAAGTGACTGCGTGTTTACATACTTTTGCTGTCAACGTAATTCAACTAAACAAGGTTATCGTTCCAATGCCAATGTATTTATTGCTGCAGAACATGGTCGGAATAATCATTATTTCTACATAATGCACGCAAAAAAACGAACAATTTAAATGCGTGAAGCATCTTAACGTGCCACAATGAAACATTGATTTTGTTCCAGCTGGGATCCAAGACGCGTTTGATTCAGCGTTTCACCCAATTTTTAGTTTTCCTCACGGTTTCCTCACTGCTGCTGGACTCCATATCTTTATTCTAACTTCTGGCGTTTCACCATCTTCATCCTCAGCTTTTTCATTCCTAAATAAAGGGAAGTAGGAATTTCATCTTTCATACTCAACGCAGCCTTATAATGAAAAACCCACCAAATAATCACGGTGACTATAAATATGAACATAGTATTAATATAATATTAACACAATATTAAGATTAAAGTGTAAAATATCAAATGAATATGATATTAACTGTTGCGCCGGTACGGCATGTGGTAAATCTCACAGTGTATATAAATACAGTGGCGGCAAATGCGCTTGGTCACGTGACCAAATCTGCACGTGCGGTTGTGGCGAGGGCACTTCCCGAAACTCTGGTGCCAACGGCCTCGCGGCGCCCATAGAGAATACATGGGACCTTTTCTTTTCAGACCTGTCGTGTCTAAACCAAGCCATTTAGTGCAAGGATACGACTGGTTTGAGATTCAGTAGTCTTTTGGCTATAAGTCGGCATAAGAAACGTATTTTTATCGGCAAAATTCGTAAAGTACCAGGTGGTTTTCCGCTACCCTGCACGCCTCCTAGCCCCCCGACCGGAGGAGTCAGTAGCGCTCCACTCACGACTTTTGGCGATAGCTCAAAACACCTTACAGCTAGAGGGCTACTATTTGGCACACCTTATCCTTGCTTCCATACGCATCTTTGGAAACCAATTGCATTTCCGTCTCAGGTCAGATCACTGACTTATGACGTCACACGTGAACCTCTGCAATAGTCCCAAAATACTGAAACTTCGCAATGCCCTCGGTGCCAGAGGAGCTGTCACAGCGAGATGATATATACAGGACCTAGTATCCTCTAGAAGTCTCAAAACTTGTATATCTCGGATTTCTCCTAGAGGTCTCTTACCTGGTACTCTTACCTGGTGGGGCTCCTTCTGCTTCGCAGCCGGTAGTAAGGACTGGAGCAGGAGGAACCCGGATAGGATCAGGACACGCCAGTCACAGTCTCCCCACGATGATGTCCTATAGATATGGCCAGATGACTGGAAAGTGTGTGTCCTCGTGGTATATGCCATTGGAAAACAACACTTATCGGTATGTTTGCACAAATATCGCGAGTCAGATGTAGTCGTACAATGTGTTACCTAGTGCCTGTGCGAGAAGTCGTTTGAAAGACGACAGATCTGAAGCGGCCACCACGGCCTCTGGCAAACTATTCCAGATAGCCACCCGACGATGCGAAAACGAGCGCTGCCGCACGTTCGAAACAGCACGTGCTACATGCAGCTTGAAGCAGTGACCACGAGTTCCACCTCGGGGAGGCTGATGGAAAATGTCCTCAGGGGTTATTGTGCTCTTCCCATGGAAAATCTTCCAGTACTGTATCAGATCGGCGCGAATTAGTCGGCCTTGCACAGAGAAAAGGTCAAGTTCCTTCAGCCTCTCCGCATAAGTCATGTCATGCATCCCTTCAATGTGTTTTGTCCATCTGCGCTGTACCCTTTCTAGTTTACGCACATCCTCAGCATATTCGGTGTACCACAGACAAGACGCATACTCAAGCACAGGCCTTACATGCGTCCTGAGAAGGAACAACATGAATGCGGGTGATCGACAAACTGTAGCCTTTTTAAAATTGTGACACAGTCCACCGGCCTTATGCACTACAGTGGCTATATGTAGATGAAATTTTAACGAATCATCGACCAACACTCCTAGGTCGCGCTGCGAGTGATGGATCGGAAGTGGTGTACCGTCTAACGTGTACAACGGATGAGATTGGCTACAGAACTTCCGGGAAAATCTCAACACCGCACACTTAGCCTTGTTCATGCGCAAGCCCCAGGACAGAGAGGTCTTATACAGCACGTCAATATCTTGTTGCAGTGTCGGATCTGTCTGGGGATACAACGCCACAGAGTTGCGCGCAACAGAAGCATACAATTTAAGGTCATCGGCAAACATCTTAAAAGTACAGGAAAGCTTTGAGCACACAAAATTAATATATATCAAAAACAACAGCGGACCTAACACGGAACCCTGTGGAACACCACTGCACACGTCTCTGCTGCTGCTTAAGTTACCACCAACACACACCTGCATGACTCTATCTGTT